TAAGGTCAATTAGGACTTCTTGGGAACGACAAATCAAAAGGTGAAGACAAACAGTCACGACTCATGGAAAATGTCAACCAAACAGAAAACAAATATCAATAGCGACTTGATGCATTAAACTCTATAGGACTGAAAAACAACTTAATGAAAACATTAACACTCAATATCATGGATCATTTTAAAATTGACGTAATTTATTCGGATCATATCAGTCACCTGTTAACAACCAAACTATCCATAGTATCTTACATTGACATTGTCTCTAGCAAATCATTAATTGCACAAGCCACCTGATTTTACAATAAAGAAAACTATTGAGAAAGATATAAGTATAAATAAAACCTAAAAGACATACTATAACGCATGAATATGCATAACCAAAAATAGATATACAGACCAACCGTTGTTAAAAATTAACAGTACATGGCCAAATGAGAAAAAATATCAAAACATAAATATGCCCATTCGATTCAAAAGAACCTCATAAAAAAATATTTCAACAAGCTTAAAACATTCACCGACATGTTTCAGTAACCTTAGGATATTTTTAAATCTCAATTTTTATATTAACCGTCACGAAGGGGGGGAAAATGAGAAAAATGGAGCCAAAATAAAATGTGATGAACCAATTCTCTGATTTGGGAGTGCAAACATCAATTCTAAAAATTAAGTCAAAATAGAACTTTTGAAGTTTTTAACATACAAAACCTAGAAAATTAATGAATCTTTTACTATAACCATAATTTCAAAAATATGTGTATAATAAATAAGACAATTAATTATATTGTTTTAATTCAATTGTAATATTAGAAGTGTTACTACTTTACACGAGAAAGTTTAAAAATAAAATTTTACCCTATATGTAAATTGGTTTGTTTGATTTTGAAGTGTAAGAGGTCATTTTAGAAAATTGTACTAACAACATTTCAATAATAATAGTAATAAATGAAAAATAAATAAATTGGTATCTAATAAAAATTAAATTAATTGACCATCGATTTAATAAGTGAATGAAACTACAAACTTTAAAACAAATCAAGGAATACGACAGGAGGACACTTCAAAGGAGGACGAAGGGAAACTTACTCGGATAGTCCAACGACACAATTTACATATGAAAAATAGTAAACGACATAAATACTCCATTTGACCATATGTACATAGAAAATAATACTAATTAAAAATACACGCATTGGTCCTTAGAATTTTTTGGTGTGGTTTGGATCTTGCACATTATTATTTTAAAAAAAAGGATCATCCAATAAAGTCATTACAACATCATCCTTCCAGTTAAGAAACCCAGAAATTGTAGGACTATACGGTAAGTCAACAGAGGAATTCTGATTCTTATTCATTGGCGTTGATATACCAATTGAAGGGATATCCATTGAAAGTTCCATTTTCTGGTTCATTGTAGGAGACACTGGAGAATACATTGGAGGAGCTATCATTAATGAAGGCATCGGAGAATCAATCATTGGTGAAGGCAATAGAGAATCCATCGTTGGTGAAGGAATCGAAGAATACATTATTGTTGACGGCATTGGGTGGGTCAGTGCAGGTGTTTTTCCAACAGCCATGTGTTGATGCATTGGAGAAAAAAATTGTGGAACCATTGGAGGAAACATTTGTGAAAACAATAGAGGAGAAGGATCCGTCGGTCCTTCAGAGTTGTTCCTACTGGGTACGTTGGATCAATAATGGGTTGAGGGGCATTCGATGTAGAACCCTCTCCATTAGCCTCTGTTATCATTAGTTCACGTACTTGTTTGAGATTCTTCTTGATTACACAACGTAGGTCGTTAAGATAGGAAGGGTTCATGTCAACAGAAACAGTTTTTATCTCGAACACCTCATACATTTCATTTGTCATTTCCTTGACCCTATTTTCCTTTCTTACCTTTTGAAGTTGTTCCTCCAACTTTTTGATCCGTTGCATGGTGAACTCTTCTCTTGTCACCATGTTTTTAGATCTATCCAATGTCGGCAACTCCTTAAACTTGATAGAAGTGTTGCGTACAACTTCATTATTTGGAAATGTATATGGTTCATTTCTGTAAGGGCCGTATATGGTTGTAGCCACTTCAACATCACAAAGTGTTTTCAGTTCATCAGATTTTTTCAAGAGCCCTTTCAGTCTTTTATTATATGAGATTTTTCTTTTGCTATCATCTTCAATGAAATCATAGTTCACTTTGTTTCTAGTCATGGCTAAAGGGGAGGAGAAATGTGTTTGTTTGGATATGAGGGTTAAAATGGCTTTGTTGTACTAGCAGTAGTAGTTGTGATTTTCTTGCCTAGGATTGACTCCTATTTATAGAGAAAAATTTAATTCTGTATAATTTTAAAAGTTTGAAATAGAAATTTTTTTATTGCTAGCAAGAACTATTTTGGAAAAACACTAAATCAGGGGATATTAGATAAAAGTTAGATAGAATCACCTTAAAATATATTTACTTATGGCTCTGGTATTATGTTGACCAACTTATTAGGAAAATATTAATGTGATTTAAATTTAGAGAAAAGGGTCTGAAAAATACTCCAACTTTGGTCGAAATTGTTGTTACGATACCAAACTTTGGAAAGGACCTTTTACCCCCTGTACTATTTAATAGAGTATTTTAAAGGTATATATTTGTCTACGTGGACATCATAAATATTGCATCATTTTAAATAGTAATGTGTCCACTTGGGCACATATATACCTTTAAAATACACTATTAAATAGTGCATGGGGGTAAATGGTTCTCCATAAAGTTTGGTATCGTAACAGCAATTTTGGCCAAAGTTGGAGTATTTTTCATACCCTTTTCCCTTAAATTTAAGTAGTGTATATAGAGAATGGTCATAAAGTTATCGCAAATGTATTTCTTTACTCATTTCTTTCATCGAGTTTTTTTTTTAAATAAAAAGTATATTTTGATTCAAGGATGTACATAATTAAATATTGAAACAAGGGAACATTTATATATTGGTTAGGAATATTGAAATATAAATTAATATGCTTAAAAATATTCAATTTTTATGGTTAATTTAAAAACCACAAGTATATTTTAAATCTTAAATGGTGATGTTTGTATGATTGAAGAAGTTACATCGCTTGTCGAAGCACATTATTATTTTCTTTCATTTTGGATAAACCATATTTAGTTTAAAAAATTATGTTGCTTTCAAATATATTTGAAAGTAAATCTTGCTTAAGTATGTTTTTCTTAATGTCCGATACTCACCAACCTGTCACTCGATTAAAATTATATATATTTCTATATTAGTTTTGAGACAAGTCAATCTGAAATAATAGCACTAAACACTTATCAAAATGATGTGTTTACAATAGTGTTAAAATGAAAAGATACTTTTTTATTCATTTTAAGAAAAATACTCAAGATGAAGAGAAATTTATTTGAAGATGTCTTACTAAATTTTGATCAAACGAATATGTACATTTATTACTCTGATGAAAAAATCTCCTTTTATAGTCAATGTGATAAATATTAACCATATTGGGATCCCTATATATATATATATATATATCTTTGATTCTTTCTAACTAATGTCTATCTCTTTATATGAGAGGGGAAGAAAGAACTTCAATTTTATTGAGTTTCTGTCATGTTTAGTTAAACCCGTTTAAATGTAATGATCCATCCTTTCATTTTTAGAAATACCCGCAGTAAAATTCCTAAGTCTAAAATTGGGTCTATCTAGTCGAGATAAGCTGGGATCATAATTAATAGGGGTAAAATGGTAAACTCATTCATTAATTGTTTTCTTAATAGGTGTGTCAATTCAATAGTGAACAAGTAAATAGGGACATAGTGAGTATTTATTTTTAATTAAATTTAGAAAGATATGTTTCATTTTTACCCTCAATCTCATCGCTACATTTATTTGCTCTTTGAAATTGAAATTAAAAAGACAAATAACAAATAAGTTTTTATATTAGCTCACTTATAGCAAAATATATTATAACAATCTTACTACTTTTTTAACCCTACATAATACATAACAATAACTTTATCCCTGTTGGGCCCAGGCAACGCCCAAACTTCCTTTACTAGTATCATATATATATATATATAAAGAGAACCTTAGGCCCGTCTACGTGGCGCCACCACAAATCAGATTTCTCTTTTAATTTATTTATTTACAAAATTAGCCTTCCCTTTCATGAAAAGTTACGACTTTAATGAATAATTGTGACTTTTATGAAAAGTTACTTTTTAATGAAGAGTTGCGATTTTTATGAAAAATTATAACTTTTATGAAAGGTTGTGACCTTTCCGGAGGGTTGAAACTTTTCCAAATAGTTGTAACATTTCTTATAAGGCACAATAAACATTTGTTCACACTACCCTTTGTTGTCTATAAATAGAGGGATTTCCTCTCATTTTAACACAACAAAAATTCTGAACCTCCACTTCTTCTTCTTCTTCACAATTAAATCTTTGTATACTTTGCTCATGTTGAGTTACTCACTGACACTATTGCTTATGTTACAGATCCTGATATGTATTTTTACAATCATTAATTTATAATTTATGCTTATGTTATTAAGAATAAATGATAAGATGTAATAATTTTCATTTTTCTTTACATAATTAATGTTTGTTACTACGTAATTTTGTATGTAAGATAATATAGTGTTTTAGTTTTCATGTCTGATAGGTTTTAAGTATTATTTTATAAATTTCGTGATATTTAATTCCTGCGCAAAGCGCAAGTAATTTTACTAGTATATATATATATTGAACATATTTGAAAGTGTCATAGAGAGGGAGTATATGCCTTGAATTCGATAACTCCTAAATTGAGAGGACAATATCTACAAGACAAGTGTGTAGAAACAGTCATACAAAACTCAAAAAAGGTAAACTTCAAAAAATGAAAAAAAAATTCAATTGCATACATAGAAACCGACAGACAATATCTGAGACTTCAATGCAGAATGAAATTGAAATAAAATTCCTCTGTAACATTTCTCTAATAAAAACTCAATCTTTTCTTCTGAGAATCATCATTTTGGCTGACACCCTCTTCTTGAAAATAAGGTAAAAACAGAGAAAAGGTGAAAAAGTTTACAACTTTATTAAGGGGCTGAAGAAAAAAGTTTTTATTATTGATTCTTGAATTTTACTGTAAGTTTTCATGTTGGTTTTTGTTTTCTTCTGAATTCTTGTATTTGAAGGAAAAAGTTGGAATCTTTTTTGTTGGTTCTTGAATTTTACTGCAAGCCTCCATGTGGGGTTATGTTTTCATCTGAATTCTTGTGTTTGAAGTTTTTTTTTTGTTTTTTGGCTGGTTTGGTTAATTGTGATTAACATTGGGTTTTTGTGTAACTTTGGTTGTAGTGATACAAGAAATAAAATGGGGTTGATAACTGGGATTCTTATGGGGATGATCTTTGGGGTTGGTTTAATGGCTGCTTGGAAATACATGACGAGTTATCGAAGCACTAAACGAAGTTCAAAGGTATGATTTTGATGAATTATGATTTGTTTGAATGATCATTATCATTTTTCTTTGGTAATTTTGGTGTGTTTTACTATTATAATGTTTTTGGGATGAACATCATTAGGGGTGGCGTAGTTAATCACGCATTGTTGGTTCGGGAATGTTAGTAGTTCAGTTAGTTGGTAAACTACCTGAACTTTTCCCTTGGGTGTGAAGCAGACCACGCTTCGCCACCTAAGGTGGCTCTACCTCTGGCTTGTAATCCCCTTCCCCTATCCCCGTTTATTATTTTTTTGCAGAAGGCATTGTTGACTCTTGTTTATAATTTGTTTAATTATAGAATTGCAATGGCTAATTTAGGTTGCATTGAACGGAATTGTTATGAAAGGTTTCGTAAAGCCGGCTCCAACTCAAAATCCAACTTTGTTGTTGGAGGAGAAATGCTTTATAAATTTTCTCAATGTGAAATGGATAGCTGTCCGAGTGTTGCACACGAAGCTTTACTTTGTTTACTCCCTCAGTTTCTATTGTTTGTCTTACTTTCCTGCTTAGTCCGTTTCAAGGGAATGTCTCTTTTTTCTTGCAACTCTTTAGTTCTAACTTTTCACATGATATGATATGTTTAAGACCACGCGATTGAAAGACATGTTGGTACATTTTTGCATATCTTTAATTTAAAACCACAAGATTCAAAAATCTTCATTATTTTCTTAAACTTCATGCCAAGTCAAAAACCGGACAAAGAAATTGAAAATTGGAGGGAGTATTTATTCTGATTGGTAAAATAAAACTACTATTTCTGAAGATGAAGCAGCTAGGAAGGATTGTGGATATAAAACTGTTTTCCTTCTGCTGCCTCTGTGATAGTTTTGCTTCTTTGTTCTCTGCCTTATGTAAGTTTCTCCTCAATTTGTTACGAGAGTAGGAACTAGTCACTGGTTAATTTCATATTGATTTACATGGTTCTCTTTATCATGCTTGTTATTATGATGAGTCATTTATATTTCAGAAGTGGTGCAGCTGCTTTTCCTTTTTGAAAGACTGATTTTCGTCTGATCTTTCATTGTATTTACTCCTTTGACAGGCAGTGGAGGTTAATCTAATGAGCTCCCTCAGTAGGGACGATTTAAAGAAAATGTGTGGCGATAAATTTCCTGAATGGATATCATTCCCAGTTTATGAACAGGTTGTGGGATTCAATTGTTTGTTTTTACCCTCATGTAGTCTTTAAAACTCGCATTGTTGTTCTGCCTTTCAATAGAATACTTGATCCAACAAACTGACTTTGACTGAAACCATTCTATAGAAAATGTACTTACTTTTGAACGGAATATTTATGATGGGAAGTTTATGTTAGCATGAATAAATGGTTTCAATATCATGGGAAGAACTCTCAGAATTAATCGGCTAGCTTAATGTACATTTGAATCGTATTTATGACTGTTACTTGATGAGTTAGAACAAAAAATACATTGCTAAGTGGTGATCAATGCGAGGAGAGAAGTTTTACTAGTTAGAGAGCTATATGCTGTTTTCCCTTTGTTTTCTGTTTAGCCGCGGGGTTGGTGAGGGTTGTTACACTTAAACGGGTTGTCACAAATTGCGAAGGAAAGCAACACAACTGTAGTACCTGAACTTAGTGAGAGGACAGAAAAATATCTGATATATATGTGAGTCTTTGAAGCTACGAATTATCTGATGTTTTTACATGTTTCCTTATGAAATCCAGGGAAATAAACTAGCATAGTGTACATTGCTAATGTTACATGTGTGTCGCTAACACTACTCTGAAGAGAAAGGAACATGAGAGCTTTTGAAAGGGGAGGAACATGAATCTGTACAGCCTAGGCTTGTCATTTATTCTTACTAGACTCTGTGGCATAGATGATTAGGTGTCTTATGTGGAGAACCATATCTTTGTGTAGGCTCTCTACTTTTTGGTATTGCTTTGTCAACAGGGTATTTTCCTCATGGCATCTATAAAACATTACTTTCTTAAAAGAATATTTGTCTCATGCTGTCTCGCGCTGCAGGTCAAATGGTTGAACAAACAATTGAGCAAACTTTGGCCATTTGTTGCTGAGGTAAGCTTTTGGCTCTTGCCTTGTGTAATCATGTCATTTTTGGTAACTTTATCATCATCTGAATTTTGTACTATGAACTTCTCAGTAAGCCGTGTTAAATTCCTTAATAAGGCTTCAATGCTTGCGAGTGGCTCATAGTTAAAAATAAGCCTGGAAATTTGGTCAAGTGTACAGTGGAGATGGATGATTCTTTTTATAGATTTGAGAGAAGGGGGTTTTGGTTACAGATTTCGTTCAATGTATTGCTCGACGCAATTAAGTTGCATAGTTTCTTTCTGATATTGCATCAGATATGGCGGTTACTCAGGATGAATAATTTATACAATGAAGTTCACATTCTTCATGTGCAAACACTTGTATCAACGCCAATTATTCAGTTAGAGCAGTAACATCTGTAGTTCCATTAGTGTGGTTGAACGAAGTTTCTCCTTTCCAAATGCCATGTAGTGAAGTCATTAATCTTATCTCTTAAATGTTGGCTATGCAGGCAGCCGAGGCTATAATAAAAGAATCTGTTGAACCTCTTTTAGAAGACTATCGACCTCCTGGGATTACTTCATTGAAGTTCAGTAAATTGTCCTTGGGAACTGTGTCGCCTAAAATTGAAGGTAGCAACATAAATAGTCATTATTACCGATCACCCAAAAAATGAACTGTTTCATTATTCTGCTTTTTGCTTTATCATTATGCTTTGTAATGGATTACCTATTAGCACATTCTTAGTTCTTCTAAAAAATTTATGTCATCATTGATAATCATTTTGTACTTTGGTACTACATATGAATTGTTTCATATTTGTAGAACAGTTTGGTGACTTGATCGGAGACAGAAATGCTAAGTTCATAAGTTTTTACAGCCTAGTTTCTGCGATCAATTCGCAATACATAAGTACATTAAATTAGCTAGTTTTCTGCATAACTCACTCTGGTCCAATTCTCAGTAGACCTGGTTGCATTGTTCCCAATATAGTTTCTCTGTTTACATTTTGGAAAAGAAAGTCAGTTCGCCTTTTTGAGTTCGCTGCTGCTACTGTCTAGTTTTCGAGCTTTGAGATTCATCTGAATCTTCTTCAGTTTATTTATACTGATGATTTGATTCCAAAAAAGTGTAGTTAGCCATCATCTTATGCCGGAAACCATTAAGATATACAAGATGATTGTTTTTTAATGACTTCATTTTTGTAAATAATGCTGAGTCCCACATCGGTAAGATGAGGATTAGTTGGTCACTTTATATGGTCTTAGACAACCCTCACCTCTTGAGTTCTTTTGTTAATGGTTTGACAAGTCACCTGAATGAACATGGATACTCAAGAGGCAAATCACAGATTTGCTAATACTAGTGTTTCGGGGTTGATGTTTTGGCAAATATTTAGTAATCATGGGGTTGTGATCCGGCTAAAGAGCGGGAGACAAAGAAAGAGTGAGCCAATTTCTATATCTATGATGCCTATCTTTGTAGCACACAGTTGACCAAGAGATAGAAAATAATTTTGATATGACATACTTCATGTCAGTGGAAACAAAGTAATCCACATAGAGCTTATCTCTCGTCATTATAGTGTTGCATCCCCGATAAGACATTTAATGATTTGGTTTCAGTTGCATGTGTTAGATTCCTTAATTAGTTTGTACTATTTCACTCAGCATTTTAGCCTTCTTTTTTGGGGGATAAATGCAGGTATTCGTGTTCAAAAATTTAAAAAAGATCAAATTACTATGGATATTGATCTTCAATGGGGTGGTGATCCCAATATCGTTTTAGGTGTGCAAGCTGCAATGGTTGCTTCTATACCCATTCAGGTAGGTGTCTAATCTCTTTCACCTGTCATCAGATCCAAAGAGACGAAAAAAACAAATCTTTCACCTCTCCATGTTCCTCTGACTAGTGAGTTATATGGAGAAAGAGAGTTATACTAACCATCGTCCATCGCAAATTGGTTGCAGTTAAAAGATCTTCAGGTCTACACAATTGTTCGTGTTATCTTCCAACTAGCTGAAGAAATTCCTTGCATCTCTGCCGTTGTTGTTGCTTTACTCTCTGAGGTATAGCCTAATTCTATTGCTGAATGTGCTTCTTCTAGTCTTAGATCCCTTTAAATTGTGGTCCTTTTAATACTTAACACCCTTTCCCTCTCCCTCCTTTCTCCCCCAAACGAAAGAGAGAGAGACCGGGAGAGGGTGTGGTTCGTCTTGATATTGGTTGTATCAGTTTTTGGTGTTTTGTTAGACTGTGTGTTGATAAAACAACATCTTGGTTGAGAGACTTGAGTACCTCCTTGGCTAAAGCATGTGGAATCATTTGTCGATAGGCTATAGTAAAAGTAAATGTTGTGTGAACACTTCATCTAACATTTGTCATAGGCTATAGCCTATAGTCATAATATACTTCTTGAATATTATATTATGCTGCAAAAATGTTTCTCCCTCTTTCTTATGCAATTCTATGGGAACTAATTTTTGTGTAGTGGTAGAACTGATCGCTTAAAATGAACGGAAAAAGGTAAAAAAAAAATGCCCTTAAATTATGTGGAAATTCACTATATTTGTCCTCCGTTAATAGTTGGGTCTAATTATTCCCTTGTCGTTACTTTATTGGGTAAAAAATTGTCCCTATTTGACACAAAACTTAAGCGAGAACATATTTGGTCCAATTTAGTTCCTGACTGAAATTATGCAACAACTTGTGAAGTTGCATTTACAAAGCAACTTGATTGAATTGTAATGAATTTTTTTCACCAATTTAAGGCATCACATATAGCATATTCTAGCCATTTTTCAGCAACTTACCATTTTTTACAATTTAAATTAGAAATTCTAGGTAAAAATACAACAACCATAATGTCATAAAACAGAAAACTCACTACATTGATTCAAATCGCAAAATATCTTTACATTCTCTTAAACCACTGAATGTCATAGATTCCATCAACCCGCAAAATTAAGAGAGATTCACGGAAGGACAGGTGGATGAGCAATGTTATGGTTGTCCCTACTTTTTTCTGAAAAACAAGATTAAAGCACGAGAACTTAAATTTAAATGACAATTCTCCCCCACAAACGGAAAGTTTATTAAAAGTCTGCACGGAAAATTGATGGAGTCTAAAGACGGTTTCTGGTTTGAAGCATATGGTGTATAACTGTATTTCTGATTTGATGAAATTTTATGGTATTTGGTCATTTGATCGAAGGTAAAGATATTTTGTGGTTTGAAGTAATGTAGTGAATTTTTTAAATTTTATGACATCATGGTGGTTATATCTTTACCTAGATATTGTTATTTAAATTGCATAAAATGACATGTTAAGTTACTTAAAAATTACTCAAAATGTGCTCTATGTGATGCCTTAAATAGGTGGGAAAATTCATTACAATTCAATTAGGTAACTTCACAAATGCATCTTTACAAGTGAGTTCATAATTGTAGTTAGGAACTAATTAATTGGACAAATTACGCCCTTATACTATGCGTATAGGTCCAAATATGCTCTCGTTTACGTTTTGGGCTCAATAAAGAGAATTATTGAGTTCTCTTGCTTTCATAACATAACATGTGCTACCAATTAAGTTCTCATATTCTCGTGATCACTTTCTTATGTATGTTTATGTAACTGACTCCTTGTTTGTTTTTTCAGCCAAAGCCAAGAATTGATTATACTTTGAAGGCTGTTGGTGGTAGTTTAACAGCTCTTCCTGGAATTTCGGATATGATTGATGTAAGTGTTAAAAACTTATTCTCTTGCTGGACATTTCTTACTCGAATATTTTCTCCGTAGACTGACTCTGATCTCTTTTTCATTGAAAGGACACAGTAAACTCGATTGTTACAGATATGCTAGAATGGCCCCATAGAATTGTCGTTCCAATTGGCGTAGGTGTGGATACTAGGTATATTCAGTTTTAAAAGTATTTTAGTCGTTGATAATGTTAATGATTTTTTAGTGGTGGATAAGTGACAGCTGCATTTCGTTCCCTCTCTTGGTACAGTCTGTTATTACCTTCAAAGTTATATTGTTATTAGAATTGTCAGCATTCAACACTCGGTTAAGTGTTTAACCGAGTTTAAACACTTAAATATAATAGAAATCTTTGGTGTCATTATCCCTTCCTTTGGTCCTGTGTCACTTCAATTTGAAACCAATACTATCATTTGTCTCTGTTCCATCAGTGTTGTCTTTTCGATGGGAACGATAACTCTGTCTTGTAACATGTCTTTATTATATTTTTCATTTTTATGTGACGTTATTTGTGTGTTTCATGCAGTGATTTGGAGCTTAAGCCTCAGGGAAAGCTTATAGTGACCGTAGTCAGGGCTAATAGCTTAAAGAATCATGAAATGATTGGAAAATCTGATCCGTATGCAGTTGTATATATTCGCCCTCTATTTAAGCTGAAGACGAAAACCATCAACAACAACCTAAATCCGGTTTGGGACCAGACGTTTGAGTTGATTGCAGAAGACAAGGAGACTCAATCTCTTATCCTAGAGGTCTAATTTCTGTACATTTCAGCCTCTTATTTGTACGAGTTTCCATAATCATATCCATGATCATTTTGAACAGGTATTTGATAAAGACGTTGGACAAGATCAGCGAATGGGGGTTACAAAGTTGCCTCTGAATGAGCTGGTAGCGGAGACTCTGAAGGAAATTGAATTAAGGTTACTGCCAACACTTGACATGCTTAGAGTCAAAGATAAGAAAGATAGAGGAACTATCACAGTAAAGGTACATGACAAAGTCTACGTGTTGCATTATTGAAGTTTCATTCACCGTAGTATTATGCTCTTACGTATTGATTGCTGTCCGAAAATTGGCAGGTATTGTATCATGAGTTCAACAAAGAAGAGCAGTTAGCTGCTCTGGAGACGGAGAAGAAGATCCTAGAAGAAAGAAAGAGGTTGAAGGCAGAAGGTGTCATTGGGAGCACTATGGATGCCCTTGACGGAGCAGCATCACTCGTGGGTTCAGGTGTTGGCATGGTGGGCACAGGCCTTGGTGCAGGAGTAGGTCTTGTCGGAACAGGGCTAGGTGCGGGTGCAGGGATGGTAGGTAGTGGCCTTGGAGCTGTTGGAAGTGGCCTAAGCAAAGCCGGTAAGTTTATGGGGAAGACTCTCACGGGGCAATCGAGCCATTCAAGGAAGAAGAGTGGTTCCCATACTCGAGTAAACTCTGTTCAAGAAAATGGAGGTGCAAAGCCACTCTAGACTCTGCCTTTGTGATGTTGGCTAGTTTTTGTGAAGTCGAAACTATCTAGTGTTTGTAAACTTGTAGGGTTTAGATCACAGATTTAAGCATGGCGTTTATCGATGCAAAGAGTGTACTTGGGAAATGGAATTAAGGTGTTCATAAGTAAGTGAAAGATATGCAAATGAGCACATTTTATAGGCCTAATGTCTTTTGCGCTCCGTGTACCCCTCTACTTCGTGAAACTAAGAGGAGGTTTAATGGACTTTGAGCTTCTAAATGAAACCCTTACAGGTCGTTTTGTGGCTGGTTAGAGTTATGCAGAATTATAAGCTTGTAATCGACCATCGTACTTGTTATGCTGATTTTAATACATGTATTATGTATATCAAATGACCCTTTAGTGAATAAAGGCAAAAGTAAACATTTTGCAAACCTTAGGGGCAACTATGGATTTTCTTTCATATTTTTTTTCTTTAAAAAAATATTTAATGTTCCCGTTAGTAAAAAGGGGTGAAAGTAAATTATTTCGTAAATGTGTGCTAAAAGATTAGCCGTAGGGGTATTAATGAGTCAAACTTCTAACCGAGAATAAATATAAACCTTTTCGTGAAGTACAGATAAATATAATGCAAGCTATCTGTTATGTTGCGCATTTCGAAAGTCAATTTGACTGATTTTCAAAGTTATATTAGATTAAATTAATTCGATATTTTAAACAAAAAATTTAGATATTCAAAAACTATATGGAAAGTACTATAAATTGCAATTTTTTGCATATCCATGCAATGAAAAATACAGGTAAAATGTTAGTCAAAGTTTTATAATTTAACTCTAAAAAAAGAAATTATGACAATTAAAAGTGGACGGATGTAGTATATATTTGTTTGGCTATGATTGTGAGAAAATTGGGAAAACACTACAAATCCTGCTTTCACTATTTGACAGTTATTCATTTCAAATTTTTCCCCATTTTTTTTATTTTTATAAGAACAATCCCATTTATTTCTTGTTTAGCTAGAATTCAAAATGTTGACAAGCCAAAACTCATTTGTTTTAGTTAACATAATTGCATACAATTTGTATATGAGTTGCATGTAAGTTGTAGCTTTTTGACTAGATTCTATACAAAAAAATTGTACAAACTGTACTTAACACAAGTATATATATTAGTTTCTCGATATATGCATTACATCATGTGTATATTAAATTATGTCTATGTGAACTTTGAACAACTCAACGGCTGCAGATTTCACTTGAGTTTGTTAAGAAGGGGAAGAGTAGAAAATTTGTAGCCTAAAAATGAGAGGAACCCCCTTTATTTATAGTGCAATAAAGGGAAATATGAATAAGTGTTTGTTGTGTCTTGTCAGAAAAGTCACAACTAATCGAAAAGTCATAACTGTTCCAAAACGTCGCAATTTTTCATTGTGAAAAAGATGTCTGCTTTTAATATAACCCTTTATATATAAAAATGTGTTCGGTATGAAGCAAAAAATTAAAAATGATGTCGAAAGAATTTATATGTAATCTAGCAGTATAGTATGAATTTCCACAAATATAATGTTGTACCATATTATACATTAGGAATATTTAGGATAAGTAACGTAATATTTTATGTTTGATTATATATCTTAGAAAATTTAAAAGTTTGTTCATAAATCGCATTCAAGAAATGCGTTTTATTCCTTCCCATAGCATCTCTTCGTTTTTGCTGCTTCTAATTTTTTTTAGTGAATTTTTTTCATTTGTAGAGAATTAATACATATTTTTTTGGCATAATTGTTCACCGATTGTCATGAATACAGTGAGAAACCAATAAGATTTTATTCTTGTTCTTCTGCAAAGGGACTTTTCTTTATTATCAAATCTAAAAATTATACTCACTCTATTTCATATTAACTGAATTTTTAAGGTTATGCACATGAATTAAAAAATCAATCTAGGACAAAAATTGAATCATATTTTCCTCTATTACCCTTTTGTTTATTCCTAAGTCGTTACTTAAAAAGGTTTGGATTTTGACTATAATACTCCCTCTGTCCCTTTTTATTTGTTCAATTTTAACTTTTTACTTATTCTTTTTTACTTGTTATTTTTGACAAATCCAGAAAAAACAATATTTTTTACTTATTATATCCTCAATTTATTTAGAAAGATAATGTTTTTGTAAAGGTGGAACCTCTTTAATGAGTAAATTGATTTTGAAATTTTATCAATTAATAGAGGTAAAATGATAAATTCACTATGTAAATTATTATTTTCTTAATAGATGTAAGTCAAAAAGGGACCGTAAATAGGGACAGAGGGAGTAGTTACTACTAACAGAAATTAAGGAGTCCATTTGGTTCTCAATGTCACATTTTCAAGCTTAAATGTGAAATCATAAATACAAGTAGTTCTATATTGGAGTATAACTATGTAAATAATATAGTTTAACTCCCAGAAAATTACAAAACTTCATTAAAGAAAGGGGTAAATCAGAAAAAAAAATCAAACATTTCTCTTGAACTTTGAACAATTCAACTATTTTGAATAATGATAATAACTCTAAAAATTTAGTTAATATGGAATAAAGGTAATAATACATTTTATATACTCCCTCTGTCCACTTTTAATTGTCATGTTGCGCTTTTCGAAAGTCAATTTGACTAGTTTTCAGTTAAATTAGCTTACATTAATTTGATATTTTGAGCAAACAAATTAAATATTCAAACAATATACGGAAAGTACTATAAATTACAATTTTTTGCATATTAATATGATTAAAAAATACATTATAAAATATTAGTCGAAGTTCTAATCTTTTGATTCTAAAAAATGAAAATTATGAATTAAAAGTGGACGGAGGAAATAACTGTCTTATAGCGTTTGTTGAAGGGAAAAACTGTCATCTCATCTTTTGAGTGTAAATTGTAATGTAACTTTTGATTTACAATGCTCTCGCTTTCAATATAGTATGATATGATATACTCCCTCCGTCTCATTTTATAAGTCATTTTTTTACTTTGCACTTCTATTTAGAAAAAATGTAACTTTATGATCATTCTATCATTATTTAAAGTTTTCTTAAGTCAACTTTATAATAAATGATGAATACATTTTCAAGATTAATTAACTACTCTATCAAGGGTGTAATAGGCAAAATATGGTAATTTATGCATAAATTTTATAAAATGACAAGTATTGTAGTCCAGCTATTTATAGAAAGGGATGACATATAAAATAGGACGGATGGAGTATTATATACGAAAAATGATCATATTTGCCCTTCTATTTTTAGAAAAGGGTTATATTTATCCCTTGCTGTACTTTCTTTTTGATATATCTATCCTTCTCATTCAACTTGGGGATCATATTTATCCTTACACAGTTAAGTCTCATTTTCTTATTCTTATTATTCTATGTGGCGCCTATGTGGATATATTTTTATCATAATTAATTAAATTTACTCCCAATTAATTATTATAGTGACTCAATATTATAACCACTCATCTTAACCATTAAAACAAGTTACTAATACTATATTTTCCTCGCCAATCGTCACTTTCTTATAAAAATTTTTAAAGAAAATATAATCTTCATTAATCATATTCTAGGACACACAATGTGATAAAAGTGTGATTAAATATGATTTGTTATAACAAGGACACTCAAAATAGCAATAGCAATTGCAAATGGAAATTGGTGATTCAAGATCTTTTAGATAAACATCACTACGTTTTAAAAGGAAAATGCATAAGTACCCCCCAGCCTATATCCGAAATCTCAGAGACACACCTAACCTTTACTAAGGTCCTATTACCCCCCCGAACTTATTTTATATGTAATATTCTATCCCTTTTTTGCCTACGTGGCACAATCTTGTGGGCCCAGCGCATGTTGACATTTTTTTCAAGGATAGTGCCACGTAGGCCGAAAAGGGGTAGAATATTATAGATAAATTAAGTTCGGGGGGGTAATAGGACCTTAGTAAAGGTTAGGTGTGTCTCTGGGATTTTGGGCATAGGCTGGGGGGGTACTTATGCATTTTCCCTTTTATAATTAGTTATAAATCTCGTTGCTAGGAAAAATATTGAGTCGATATAATAATTAAATTGAGAGCAAATTTAATTAATTGTGATAAAAATATATCTACGTAGGCGCCACATAGAATAATAAGAACAGGAAAATGAGACTTAACTGTTTAAAAGCAAATATAATTTTAAAGTTGGATGACAAGGGCAAATATATATATATAAAAGAAGTATAACGAAAGGTAAATATAGCCCTTTTTTAAAAGTACAGGAACCGAATAAATATAACCCTTTTTCATATTATATATGAAACACAAATTATTTTTATCTATGAATCTGATGTAATTTGAGTGCAACTAGGCAATTTTCAATTTTAAAGAACAAGTTAGGTTGTAAAAAAAAAAAGATTTTACAAATAGTCAACAATGATGTAGGGTTTAACAAGATATTTTTCCATTTAAAACAAAACTTAAGAAGTCAATTAGATAGTATAATGTTCGATCATCAATCCATGTCCCCTTGGTAAATGCTAAAGAAAGAGAAAATTATATATAATCATATGATTGAAAATCTTGTCTATTTCTCTCTCTTTTTCCAATTAGAAACTTCATTTCAAATTCACTTGCTCTAGAATTAGCTATATTTTAATTTATTCATATTAAATTAATTATTTGATTACTTTGGTTCCAAGAAACATAGATAAAGGTCTTTATTTTTGTTTATAATTTGATACTCCCTTTTGTCCTTATTTACTTGTTCATTTTTCAATTGATACATCTATTAAGAAAATAATAATTAACATAGTCAGTTAATTTTTTTAACCTTTATTAATTGATAGAATTTCAAAATCAATTTACTCATTAAAGAGGTTCTACCTATTTCAAAAATACTAACTCTCTAAATAAATTGAGATATAATAGATTAGGGGTGACAATTTCAGCCCATATAAGTGAAATGAAACCATGTTGCCCATATTAAAATTAAATGGATCACTCATATTTTCTTTTCTTTTCTTAAACGGGTTAATATAGTCTTCAACCTATTAAGCTCATACAAATATGGACAAAATGGATTAACATGAGAATCCATATCCGGCCCATATAAGTGAAATGAAAT